AATCACGAAGGGAATCGTCATTCAGCCATCACTATCAAGTAGAAGTAGCGGCGGCATTGGGGAATACCTTGCAGTGTTGATGGGGCACTTGTGGTTACCGTGCGAAAGTAGCGCAAATCGCTTAAATCGCTGATATCAGCGAAACCTGCGACGGGTCGCGGACTCTGACACCAGCCTAAGAGTCGCTAGTTATGCCAGCTTTTAATTCGCAGAAGTTGTTTTTGATCTACGGTTCCTAGTTTAGTACTAGATTTTGTGCCTTTTCAGTTTTCTTCGCCATTGTATCTCGGTCTCATCTGTATATTGTATAATATTTCGGTTTTATTTTTAATCAGTTTTCAAGTTTCAGAGGAAAAGCGGGGTATTCCGTTGCGGGTGTGCATGATCTCGCCGGACCATGTCTCTTCCACCATCCTACCATGAAGGTGCGTTAGTTTTGATTAGCCTTTAGTCCCTTCTCTTTTAATGATCGTAGTCCTTTACGGATAGTGGTTCGATATCTTGGATTCGTTTTACGTTTGTTCATGGAAGCTTAACTGCAATATTCTATTAACTATTGGACATGAAATGGTATGTGTCTTGTACGTGGGCACTTCGTGATTACAAGTAGTAAAGAAATTGCATCAAGGGCATCGAAAACTGCACGTGATAACCTTTCTTGGAGACCATCGCGTCGTGTCCTTTGATTCCGTATCTACAACATGCTGGTCGTAGGAAATGAGTAATGCACAGGGCCGTATGGTATTCTTCCTCAAGGGGATGCGCCGCTGCCTTCCCCTTGTCCATCCTGAGACTGAGGGACGACAGGGTTGCGTGTAGGACCCGTCATATCATTGTGGATAGGGAGACCTGCCATTAGGTCTTCATCTCATCATCGTATTACTGGAAGAAACGAAGGAAAGGTCTAGGTAGCAACGGCAGCTAATGGTTTATCGTTTGCCATGAAGCTGTAATCGTTTTAGGCCGATGTCACTATGACATCGGCCTTACATAGAGCAAAACATTCGATCGCAGGGGATCGGCATGATTGCTCCTCAGTTGTTTTTCAACGATGATTCCCCTCCCCACGTTCACCACGTCTATGTTCCGCTCTGTGGCTTATATTGCGTAAAGAAATTTTTATTCTTATATCTGTTTTGATTTTGTATCTGGTACCGAAAGGTGATCATCATTCTCATTTCTATGCTTGACGTATTTGTGGAAAAGTTAGGAGTTGCACTCATGCATGTATGTATGTGTCTACTTTTCTAAAGTCTTCAGAAGTTATATCGCTGAGCTATTCGTGAACTTTCAGGTGTTTCATGTGACGGATGCCTCAGCGGCAATTTCTCCGGGAATAGATACAAATGTCTGCGCTGTTACGACTTTGACTTGTGTCAGGCATGCTATCTCAGTAACCGGTTCCGACCAGAGGGAAATGATACAACGTTGACTCATTCAGAAGATCATCCTGTGCAGATGATCATGACTCAGCGAGATTTTGGTCAGTGCTAGTTATCAAAATCCTTGAGAATTTTGAGTGCTCTTTGCTATAACTATCACTTAAGGTGCGGTGTGTGGTTCAGATCTTAAATATGTGGTCTTAATTTGCCAATTTTGATTGACTGCTATTTGTTGCAGATGCTGTCTACGAGGGTGACAACTCAAAAAACTATGATGCTTGTCGTATTGCATCTTTCACGTGCCCTTACTGTGGTTCAAATGGCTTTAGTTTACGCAGTTTTGCAAGTCATATCTTGAGTATCCACGCCGAACCTCCTGTGCCTCGCGTGAATGTGGTACGTTCTCTTTCGGTCTCCTTCACAGTTGATACATGTAGGGTATAAAGATGTTCGTAATATTCTGTTTTCCAAGCATTCGTAGTTAGTAGTGCTAGTTAAACGCAAACTTTGTAAAATGCATAAATTTTTGATCTTTCTCCTTTTCTAGTGGATCGTATAGGGGCTACTATTAGTGAGAACACGTAAGGTTCGGCTTCTTGGTTATAGTGGTGTTGCTTATGACAGTGAGAGCTATCTGGTTACAATTTGTTAGTAGTAGCTTTTAGGAAAAGCTAGCTGTTGGTCAGGCATCAAAAACTATTTTTGAATTGAAGAAGAAACTAGTTAGATATTTAGTTGAGTATATCCACGTTCATATACATATAACGTACATCCACTGAAAAGCGGCGCATTGCTTCTTGACAGTTAAATTGTTGTCTTTTGGAATCTTTCCTTTCCCATCCCATTTTTTTACATTGAAATCTTTACAACTTTCAGGTGCATGTCGCTGAAATTTTGTATGCAAAAAATAGTAATATTTGTTCTACAGATTTGTCCCATGTGTATTGCGTGTCCTGAGTTTGATGCAAACCGAGAAATTGACAATTTGAAAACTCATTGGACGGCATTTCATGCGTGAGTTTTCCTTTATGCATTTTCAAGAACCTAAATTCATCAAATATATTCCAAGTGCCCACATTCTGCCATTCATTTGCAACAGCTTTAGTAACTTGGAAGCTGCGACATACCGTGCTGAACCGACTAGGACTTTAGCCACCACGCGCCGACCTATGCTAGCAAGAAGGACCGCACGTCAGCCTGCCGGCGTTGGCGCTAATTGTAGGTTCTGTTTTGATGCTTCTTCTCTTCTCATCTCCATTTGCCTGGATATTATTTGCAGTTGGTGGCACAAATGCGCAAGCTCCAAATGCAGCTGCTGCAGCGGGCGGAGCCGCTCTCGGCTTACCGCCTTGGAGTGCAGATATTGCTGATGTAGATGAAATGTTTCGTATGGTGAATCTCACTCGTCATATCCCAACTTTGCCTCATATGCCCATCGCAGCCGAAATGCAGCGTATCAGTAATCAATTATTTCAAGTGAGTTTTTTTTTAGCCTAGTGTCATTTTCAGAAAGTGCAAGCTATGTATTCAGCCAGTGGCAAATGGTGCGAGTTTCCTACCAGCTCTCAATTCCTTGCGTAATGTTGTAGCAAGGAATAGTGAGTATGCTCAGCCTCGGAGTTCAAGCTCTGCCAGACAGACATCTGCAGCAACGGCAAGCCCTAACGCAGTACTCTTTTTATTCATTTTTCGTTTCGCAAGCAATATATGAAAAATCTAGTCTGTCTTTCAGCCAGTTCCGCAGATCGTTCGACCACTTCGTGTAATACCCATTTATCCGCCCTCCGACTCGCAGGTAACATTTGTTTCGTTTGAGATTTTGTATATTTTTGGTTCTTATTTTGATAAAAAATGTTCAAGGTTGCGTCTCCTGATGAGCTTGAGCCTTTCGAGGAACTGACTGAAGACGATTCCAGCGATGCTGGAGCTTTTGCTGATGAAGTGGACGTTACACAAGATGACGATGACGATGAGCATCGGTAAGTTTTTTTGGTCAGGAGTTGAAGACGTTTCTGGAAAGAAGTAAAGTTATCCAACTTTAGGTCTGAAGTGAACATGGTAACTAACAACGATGGAGTGAGATCTCGCCCTTCCTGTGCTCGTCGAAGTGCTGCTGAAGCGCAAGTTGACTCGGATAGCGAGTTCGAGTTTGCCCCCTCCGCCTGTGATGATAATGAGGTTGAATTATGTCTAAATCCATTTGACCTTATACTTAGTTACGGTTTCGTTGGTAAACAGTAGTTGTAGTTTGAAAATTTGTTTTTGTACACTTGGATCACTTGGGAATCATGATGCAGTTCTTGCGAAAGTTCAGCTTTCACTGCTCTTTATAGGAATCCTTGGAGCCTGGACAGAATGAGACGGGGGAGCCCATTTCTCGGATGGAGAGCGGCAGTATGACACCATTCGACCGTCGCCTATCAAAAAAGGACATTTGGAAAGGTTAAACTTTGTTTCGAAACACTTTATACAAATGAGTGTAATAGTTAGGATCTACTCTCATTGAGGATCAGTTTTAGTTGCTCGAATGAGTTGACGTTGAGGAATCCTTCTCAGAAAAATCGCATCGTTCACGTTATGAATGAAAATAACAAAAATTTTTTGTTCTGTTACAAATAAAAAAAACAAAAAGCGGAAGGGCGTTGCGCGTTCGCTGGACATCTGTCACAAATGCTGGCGACGGGAACTTCCACTTGGTTTCGGAGTGCCGTCACTAGAAACTCTTTCTGGCCTTTTGACTTATTGCATTCACATCTCACACTTCTACTCCATCCTATTCTATCGATCGATTTGTCTCTACTCTCCAAAATCGCGCTTTAACCCGATTCTTTCATTGCGTCGCCTGATACGTAGCCGCCCCAAAGGACTTCTTTCCGCCTTTGGCTCCGCCCCTTACCTTCGATTGTCCATAGAGTGTAGTTTTTGTACGTTTGTTTCTCTTCGGAAACCGAATCTTCATGCGTGAAACTTTGTGTGCTGTTTCCAGTGATCACAACTGACATATTCGTGTTGGGAAAGAATGCAAGATTTTTCCGAAAAGGATTCCTTCAAGCGATTGTGCTATGTTTTTCTCATAGCAATTAATGAGCTCAAACTTGCCCTGAGTCTAGGCTTGGTTGCGCGCCTTACTGCTGAGATATACCAGTGTAAAAAAAATACTGTAATAGTAGGAAGCGTCTACCAGTTCATAATTTTCAGCGCTTCGGTCGGCTCTCACCCCAGAAGAGCTGGAAACGTTCAACAGTGTGCTCAGACGTGAATCTAGCAGAGACGTGGACGAAATCGAGGATGGTCCGGCTGCGGGTATGTCGGGCAGAGAGCGAGAACGAGCGAAAACAGAGGAAGGGCAGGAGTCTCAGAGCTGGTTGAGCCTCATCTATGACGTGCCTCCTCTTTCTACCTTCCTGATGGGCAGCTACTGGAATGACAAACGTTTTCTCAGGCAAAGGTATTCTCAACACTATTTTATATCCATTCTTGCACCATAACAGCCTTTTAAGGGAAGCAGTACATCATTTAGATTAAACTTAATTTTTTCAATACATTATTAATCGGTTCATATGCATAGCAGTATGAAAATTCACCTCAGACACTGCTACTCAGACCAACTCCTGAGTTAGTCTTTTGCCAAAATGATGAGTGGGTTAATAAGGGTATCGTTCCGAAAAGCTTCCTATGCTGACATCTTCCTTTTCTATTGTTCAGTCTCAAGAATGAGCCAATTCTACTCCTCTTGTACGGTTTCAGGAAACTGCATCGCGAGATGAGTATGACCAGTGGTACTGAATCGTTATTGGAGAAAGCGGACATTGCTCTGGCAATGATTCGTGATATTGGTGTCGTTGCGCCTAGAGGAAGACAGTACTCCAGCCCAGGTGTGAAATGTTTTGGCACTATGCTATATAGATTATACTTTATATATAGAGAAGATTATTGTATATAAATTATGTGACTCGCACAATAGCTAATTATTTTCGAGAAGTTCATATAACTCAGGCCCTTTTATTTGGTGTAGATACAAATAGGCAACCTTTTAAGACTGTTCTCTACGACGAACATTAGCTCAGCTTGACTTGCCGAACATGCCTAGCAGTGAATGTGAAAGCTCAACCAGTGAGGACACGGGAAGTGCAGAACAGCATCGCCAGGTTAGTGAGATTCAAGTCTTATTGCGCATGGTAGTTATATGTCAGAGGCAAAACTGGTGTTGGGCTGCGACCGTTGCTATTTGAATGCAGAGCTGCTGGTGCGCATGTTAAAAAAACAAGCAAAGTGGTCACAAGCCTCAAAAAAACAGCGGAAGCCCAGTTTTCTCGTCTATTTGAAATTCAGAGTAGTTAACTACGGCTGTTATAGCTTCGATAGCCGTTGCAGCAACTAGTCTTTTATAAATGACTTTTATATTAGTAGCTAATCGATATGCCATCGTTTCGACTCTCGACGGACTTCGGCATGTCATGAGTAATAAGTGCTCGTTGGACGAGGTTGAGGGGGCGAAAGTTTTGATCGCAATTTTCGAGATTTCTTTGAGATTTTTTTCAGAGGACCAATAGGAGAGATGGTCGACGGCTCCCAAAGCTTTATAGAAATACACATTCTATAGTGCAACAATCACTTCAGTGTCTGAAGCCATCTGTCATTGTTTTCACCAGTTTCTACAAAGTTTTGACACGCAATGTCGTCTACATCTGCGATGCATTCAAGGAAGCTAACACATCCCAACTTAACAGCCGCGGTT